ATGAGTTTTAGTTTAAGTAGGAAATTAGGAGTTTTAGTTTGAGTTGGATTACCCTAGCCTAGCCGAATCCAACAAGGAATTCTCTTTTGTAATCTCCTATTTAAGAAGCTACGAATTGAAATAAAGCATTCAGTTTTCCAGTCAAGAAACGAGTGAGGAGAGTTTGGGTGGTCTCTTGGACAAATCACCCTAAGGGAGAGTTCGGGTGGTCTCTTGGACAAATCACCCACTAGATAGGCAAAATAGGGTCTGTGCACAAGGCCAAAGGGAAGGGAATATCAGGGGTTCCTACCGTGGAACGACCCGTGACGCGATCCTACGCTCGGGCCCATAACAAACTCTCACCACCAAAAGAATTGGAGACACCCCCTGCTTGATATGCATTATATTGATATTGATTTGGTTCTCTAGTATGGAAGACATCAAATCTCTTATTGCAAATTAACACATCATAATTTGGTTAATTGCAAGGTACATTCTAATAGAAAAATATGAGTAAATACCTTTAACACGACTACTACAACCCCTTCCATGTCCATATTTTGATTAAAATACAAACTATTGTTTTAATACTACTAAAGAGTTGTATTCTGCTGCAAGGTTGAGTTTGGGTGTTGGTAAGGTTAATAGTAGGTTGAAGAGAGTCCATTACAAGAAGGTGACGTTGATAAAGCTAGACCTTATGGTTTTTGGGTTTTTGAGAAAATCATGTATATCTTTGTTGGGCTCACAACAATCACCTATGGGAGAAAAGAACACATTATTTGAAATGAGATAACAACCAAGAGAATCCAATAGTATAAAAAATAAAGAAATCTAAGCAAAGACAAATAAAAACAAAAACCACCAAGAGCATAAAGGATTTATGTGTTTCGGCCTTACCACCTACATCGATAGGAAATATAAAATCCGTTCTTCATTATGAAAGAAAATGAGAAACAATATAGGTAACTTGTGACTTGCAACCTAAACCAACCATTAAACCTTGTATACTCATTCTCCCTTTCCTCTCTCAACCCAAATAACAAAATAGGTAAAAGGAATACACTCTTGAAAGAAGTCTCAACCTCTCTTTTTTCCTCTCCAACAAGAAAAAGAGTAAACTTCTCCAAACCCTAAATACAAAAAGAGACCTTTATATGTACCACCCATCTTAACATAAAGGAGGGACCACATCCACCATTCGATTATAACCTAATCCAATGATTGAAAAATAAAACACAACAAGAATCTCCACCTTTACTTATTTTGAACCACCATAGACATCTTTTATTTGTGCCTTCACCTATCTGTAATTACCATAAACATCCATTGCCAATGGAAAACACTACCAACTACACATAACCTGAATCATTCAACCATAACATCGCCTAATTAATTCAAACAAAGCGATCAATCCACTTGTATAACTACCCATCAGTTAATAATCTTAGTTAATTCCAAAAAGGGACCTCAATCCTTTCTTTCGGCTAGAGCATTCTTCTCACTATCATTTGTATCTTGGAAACATGTATCATTTGTCTCCATCCTAGCTATGAAAGAAACTCCTTATGTGGCCACACTTGTATATTTTGATTTTAGCAAACAATTAAGGTTTTGGGAATTATCATGCTCCCAAGAAGATGATATACATCCTTACACTTTTCTCCCTTTTATCAAAGCCATACTGTCACATGTGATTTTTGTGAATCCACCTACAAGAAAGACCTTATAACCTTTGGAGCCCAACTAGTAAGTGATATTAGATTCCTATGCATCTTTGGGACATATGACATACAATCCAGAGTATGAATAACTCCACCATACATTTTGATTTTTACTGTCTCAACACTTGTGGTGTTACAAATACATCCATCACCCAAGGAGACAACCCATGTCTTCCTCTCTTTGAATGTATCAAAATATTTTCTTTTAGAGAAAATGTGCATAAAACATTTAGAATCTAAACACCCACTCATTATGAGAACATTTTAATCATCATCCGATGCAATTTCCACACTTCTAAATTCATCCCTACTCTTTTCTTATGCAAAACAATCTCTCTTTGTGTGACAAAATTCAGTGCATCTATAACACTGTAACTTTCCTTTTTCTCTAATCTTGGATATAAACTTGTCACTCTTAAAAACTTTGTCAGCAGACCTTCATCTTTGATTTATTCCCTACATAACCATTGTAAAATCCTATACACTCTCATATTCTTCCACCCAACCTCACTGGATAGAAAAGAATGGTGGATTCTTCCAACTTCATTGTATCTTTCCCATATAAAAACATTGTCACCATGTTCTCGTACGAATTAGAAGGTGAGTTAAGAAGAAGAAGGGCCTTGTCTTCTTCATTTTCTTTAACATCCACTTTTCTTGGTTGATTTAAAATTATCATGAACACATTTAAGTGCTCAAGAGTTTCCTACCTTCTTTTATCTTCAACCTATACAACTACACTTTATATATAACTTTGTGGTTAAAATTTTCCCTAAATAAAGTTTTCAAGCTTATCCCATAACTTTAATATAGAATCTTTTTCATAAAATTATCAGGTATACGTAGGAATAATCAAATTGTACTAACACATCTTAACTAGATTCCCTTCCAAGCAACATCCTTCATGTCTTTTGGCTTTGCATCGTCTCCCTTAATGCTCTAACCAAGCCTTATTGAATCAGGATGTCCTTCACCTTTCTTTTTCATAAGGTAAAATTGCCTCTACCATTAAACCTCTTAACTGGGAATTGAGAATTTGTACCTTTTGTTTCCATTATCTCTTAAACAATTTCACAAAAACAATATAAACACCAACCTAAAATCTTTGATACAACTTTGTTGAACTTACAACAACCACCCATTTTCCTATTCCTTTCTCAACCCAAAGAACAAAATAAGAGAAAAGAATACTCTTACACCAAGAGCACCATCTTTCTCTCAACCTCTCTTTTTTCCTCTCCAACAAGAGAAAGAATAAACTTCCCCAACCTCTATATACAAAAGGAACCCTTTTATATGTAACTCCCACCTTAACCTAAAAGAGGGACCACACCTACCATTAGATTATAACCTAACCCAATGTTGAAAAATAAGATATAACCCCATTAATCTTAAATTTCAAGAGAGGTAGAGTTTAATCTTGTGGTTGTAGATGTAACGAAATGATCAAAATATGCTCCAAGTCGACCTAGTATATGAAAAGAAGATCTCTTGTACAGATCGGATCAGACATAGCTGCTAATTGAATGGCCAAACCTTTTGCTTTTTGAACATATTCTATAATTCTAGAGTTCCCCTTCTTTAAGTTCATCAACTAAAACCTCAACTAGGAGATTTTGGCCCATGATGGTGAAGCATAGGCACTCTCCAATGCTTTCCAAACTACTGACGAAAATTTGAGTCCAATGACGTGGTTAATAATACTTTCAAAAAGAAAAGATATGATCCATGTAAGTCTTAGTTAATCAAATTTATTCAAAGTCATAAAAATCATATATGGGTTTACAATCTCCTAGATTGAATCCTTGGCATTAGGGATGGTTTTAGAGGGAATGGGATCATTCCATTAAAAATCCCTTTAGTTTCATGGGTTTTGAATAGGGAAAGGAACTGAGTCATAGGTAATATCTTCAATAAGATATGGGAAACGCTAGGCATTGTCATGGAGACCAACGAAGAAAAGGTGGAGGAAGTGGTGATGAGGAGAGACAGAACAAAAGCAATGTTAAATGAAGAAGATGCCATTATTGGCTCTGATACCATGTGACAATTCTAAAATTAAAGGGATAATTGAGAGAAAGGAAAGGTCTGACGACCCACTTCATTGATTTAGTATTTATAATACAACTTGTAGTAGTTTACATGGAATGAAATAAAGAAAGGAATAGTTCTAGTAGAACTAGAAACAAAGAGTTCATCCTATATATCTTATCATAGGAGTTGAACCTATTTGTTCTAGAGTCCTGGTAGTGATTGTGTGTTTGTTTGAGCGATATCTTTATTAGGTTGCAAGGGAGTGCTTTCCATATAGAGTTCACTATGTTGTGATTATGGCTGCAGCCTTATTTTTGACTTCCCAGTGTAACACTAACATTCTAGCATTGGAAATAAATTCAGAACTTCATGTGAACTGTTATTTTATTTTCAATGTGAATGCATCCATGTTTCATTGGGGTTGCAAAGGAAGTGCTGCAATATGTGCTCTCCCTTGGGCACCTGGAAGGACTTTTTGATCCTTCCATGAAGGAGCAAAAGTGAACTTTGTAATAATGTGAAATTTAAACATGGGCAATAATGTAAGAATTATGATTCACCTCTTGTAGCTTGTCCATTGCTTTGAAACATAACTACTCTTTAGATGTATTTTTCCCAAATGGCTCGATCAATGAGGAGATGAGGTCATAATTCAATAAGGGACTAATTAGGGTTTACCTTTTTAATAACTATACCAGATTTCCCTCAAATTATATCAGCAAAATGGTAAGGTTTTGACATTAGGCATTAATATATAATGCGTGGATTAAGCGTCTGCACTTCCTATAGACTTTTTACTTTCCTCTTAGTGTATGGACATCTTTTTAAGGCAGTGTCATGGTTTGATAGAAAACAAAAGAGAACCAAAAAGTTCAGGGAAAGTTCTTAAAAGGAGTTTACTTAACAACTTTCTGTTTCTTATTATTTTCTTTGAAAGCATACGTAGCATAAATAATTTGGCACCATGGATGTAGCATATAAATCTTTTATCTTTATCATTCTAACGCATGACTGTGCAAATAGAATATGGATCAGAAGGAAGAGTTTCCAGGAGCTGTGATGTTTATAGCTATGGAATCATGCTTATGGAAATTTTTACCAGAAAGAAGCCTACAGATGAGATGTTTGTTGGAGAGTTGAATCTAAGAACGTGGGTGAATGCATCACTTCCTAATGCAGTTATGAAGATAGTGGATGAAATCCTTTTGAGTGAAGATGAATCAGATTTAAACCTGAAACAACAAGTTCTCTTTTCCATCATGGAATTAGCTCTTGACTGTACGATGGAGTCAGCAGATGAAAGGCTCAACATAAATGAAGTGAATGTTAGACTCCGTAAGATCAGGAAGCAACTCGAAAGTCGGAGTTCTTAAACACTAAGTTACTAATCATACAATAATTAAGAATCTCCATGTCTTTTGGTTGGAATATCACTGGATTCTACTTGGAAATGTAGTTTTGGTTTTTGTTATTCTCTTTTGGTTTCTGTCTGGCCTGTTTTACATGTCAATTAGATATAGAACATATACTGCATAATTTGTTGTTATATACCAAAAGGAAGTATTCTGTCAGCCAAATCATCATTTAGAATGTTTTAATAAAGCTTCCTTTAAAAACACAAAAAAGATACCAAAAAGCTTCTTTAGTTTCTTAGTTAAACTTCAACTCATGCATGATAGATTATTATTCAAAAATCCAACTTTTTAATTAATTCCTAAAAACACTATTCAAAAAATGGGAAGTCTACTTTAATTTTACCAAAATACAAAAAATAAAAGTAATGGAGATAGAAGCATTTTTCTCATAGCCTAGGTAATAAAGTATAGCCAGACTAGACCAGATGGTTGTCTAGGTTGAACTATGATTACATTATGAACACATGGAAATGCTCACAGCAGGTTTGATGCTTGAAATGGAGGTGATGGGTCCTCTGGATATGTAAGCTTCAAAACATTTCGATTATTAACAATTTTTAAGGTAGTTTGGCCTATCCTGACCTGCATCCCAAGCATAATAATATTTGTCTTAGATTGGGATAGGGATAGCCTTACCCTTGTTGATTATAAATCTATGATTAACTATGATTTTTTACAAATTAAAACTTTATTCAATTTTAATCTATTATAAAAATATAAAGATTTTTATTTGTATATTAATATAAAATTTGATATCTGAATATATACATGTATATAACGTTCAGGTCAAGCTTAAGGGTTGCTTAGTTTGTGTCCTACCTGCTAGGGTTGCCAATTGACTCTCAAATTCCAAAACTTTTTGGCCATTTTAAGCATAATAAGATGGTTGTGGAATAAACACAAATTCGATCCAAAATCTGACAAAATAATCAGATGCAGATGCTGATGTAGATATTCCATAATTGAATGAGGATGTATATGTAGTTGGACCCAATATGAATCTAATCTGCTTACAATACTACTACCTACATTATGTGTGGATTTGGGGCATATTTAGGATAGATTTGGATCAAATATGAATCTGATCCGTTTACAAACCTACTACCTACATTATGCGTGCACTTGGGTATATTTAGGATAGACCTAGCTTAGAAGAAAATGGTTGCTTGAGCCTGAAAATTTGTATGTCTATAGGAATGACAATAGGGTGGGTTTGGGTTTGGGGTTGGGACCTTACTCTTTATCCTTGACCTCGACTTTGAAACAAATCCCTCCATCCCCAATCCTTGACAGGGATGAATTCCTTGTTGGGGACCCAAATCCTTAAAGATTTTAATTTAAAAGTATTTTTAAAATATTGAAACAATATATATTAAAATACTGAAGATAGATTTACTTAAAACATTGAAACTTTTTGAAATATAAAAATATTTTAAGTATATTATAATATGTGTAATATAATTATTTTAATATAATATAATATATATACATATATAATACTTTCAGCAAGTTTATTATAATTAGGCCCATCGGGGCAGATACGATTGTCCTAAGAACTGATCGGTTCAGTTTTGGGTCTAAAATTGTAGACCCTATCGAGTCTCATTTGGTTCTAGGTCCAGTTCCAGTTCCAGTTCCACCCAGGCCGGATTGAAATGATCACACCTAAGAAAATAGATTAATGAGGAGAGAAGAGAGAATAAAATAAAAAAGAAAAACAATAAAGGAAAAAGGAAAAAGAGTAAATGATTTTTAAGTAATTGAGAGCAGACCTAAGTGATTGCAGTCTTCTTCATCAGCTTAGGAATTATATAGAACTGCCAACGTCCATAGGGCCGTTTAGGAAACTTAAGTGGTTTAGGCCAGCCCGTTTTTAAATAGTTAGATTTAGACCAAACTTTTTTTTTAAAAAAAAGGTATATAGTTCTGGTTTGGGGCTGTAATATATGCAGCATCCGACCCAAATACCTCTTCTTAACCTGTTTAAGTGGCTACATGTTAGTGGGAGATATTTTGGGAAGTCCAATCAACCACCAGTCTCGCATTTCCTATGGCTGAGTTTGGAAGGAGTACAAATGAAAATATGTAGAGTGTAAAACTTTATATTCTATATTATTTTATATGTATTTATACTATACATATTTGCATTTGCATTTATATTCTTTAGAAACTGAGCCTATAGAGAGGTTTTCAATGGTGGCCTTCCCTCTTTATTGTTTTGTTGCTAGAAGAAGCCTTGTTAAAATAGAGTAGCCGCTAGCTCTCTTTTATAGACCCGTGAGGCGTTAAAATAGACTTAAATTAATTTTGTCTTGCATGACTCGTGAGGCATGTACAGGAAAATCAAACGCCTCAATCGGTCAATCCACATAGGTCCTTGAAAGTGAAGAAGGGAAATTTATAAAAAAGATAAAAAGGTGGAAAAAATGAAAAAAAAATAGATAAATACCTTTGTTGAAAGGATAGACATGTTGAACGTCTAATTTTATTATATATATATATATATATATATATATATTATAAGATACTTTATTAGTAAATTCTGGTAATTTATCTCAATTCGTGGAATTTAGCATTTATTTTTGGACATTCCTACTAATTTATGATAATTTTTGACAAATTATTGTAACGTATTTAGGTTTATATTATTTGATAATTTTATGTAATTATCATGCTAAGGTCTACTGATTTGTGATAATTTCTTTTAATTTATTTTTAGTAATTTTTTATAAATATTGGTAACTTATATTAACTAATGGTAATTTCTGATATTTTCTTTTAATTTCTTTTTGATAATTTTTATAATTATTTGATATTTTTATGATTACGTTAGGTATAACAGTTTATTATTACTTTGCCTGTCTATGTCACAGCCTTGTGATGTCGATAGGGAGAACCCCGCCACATTAGGTATAACTGTAACGTGGAATATCAGAATTCTAGTGGACTAATATGTCACACAGGGAGAGCCCCATCAGTCAATTATTTTTCCCCCAGGGATAGTCTAAGAAGAGGTAGTTGAGAAAGAATAAGAAACTCTCTCTCTCTTTCCATTTTAGTCCTTGTTAGGGAACACCTAAGGCACGTTAGTGCAATAAATACATTTAGAGGTATATTGGTATCGGTGAACTTTTCTTTCCTCTAAACTATGAATGTAGAGAATGTTGTGAGTTTTGAAAATTATCAAATATTCATTTTGACCCTATATATAAGAATTTTTGCTTGTCTTTATAGGTGTATCATTTGAAAATAAAAAATCATATAATTGCAATTTAAGAGAAGAGATAAAAGGAAACCAACAACTATTTTTCTCTTAAAATTAAAAAATTTCTCTTAAGAGATAAGAGTTAAAAGGAAACGAACAGACCCTTAGTTAATGAATAAATACTTATTTTAAATGCTGGGATCACATAAATAGATTAATAGTCAATTTCTTGACCATGCGATCCAAGGTGTCAAATAATAGGATTTCGCTTTGGTGGATCTATTCTAAGATTTCACCAGGATTGGTATTATGAGCAAATACTGCTCCCATCCTCTAATAGAACCTCCTTAGCTATTAAACCATGGCTTATGTTTTCTGCATCAATTGTGTGAGAGATTAGTGTAGCCAATTATCATAACAAAAACCCGCATCTCCTTTGCCCACCAACATCTTTGTATTCTCAATTAAAGTGTCTCACAACTGGAAATTGTTTTACAAGGTTTTGAAACCCAGCCGTGGAATATCGGCCATCTCTATTGTATTGTGTTTCAGATAAAGTGCTTTGAACATCTCTAACCATAGCCCTGGTTTGAAGAGCGCTCTCCAAAGTGCTTTCAAATTTAAAGCTACTATAATCACCTGTATACTAGTTGTGCCCAAACCACCCTCATCCTTTGGATAACAAGCTTCCTTCCATGAGCACCAATGATGTTTAGTGCTCTCCCATCTGTATCATTCCACAAAAAACTATTCAACCTAGTTTCCAAACGTTTCTAGACACTCCGAGGGGCACCAATAGCACTCAACAAGTACATTGGAATGCTTTGTAGCACATGTTGAATTAAAGTGAGCTTCCCACATCAAAGCTGAGCAATTTTCCTTTCCAACCCTCCACTTTTTTTGTTATTTTTTCAAGCACATTTTCATAGTGATAGAGTTTTACCCTCCCTTTATCCACCAGCACCCCAAGATAGGCATCCAAGTTGATTCTCTAATGAGACTTTGTTGTGACAACCAAGTAGCCATAAATATTATACACACTTATGAAACATGGTCGTTCAAAACACATCGAAGTGGATAGACAATTTATTAAAGAAATGATAGTTAGTGGAGAAACTTTCCTACTATTTGTAAGGTCAAGAGACCAACTCACATATTGTCTCGCTAAAGGCCTTCATCATCCAAAGTTTGCTAAGAATGTAGATAAATTGGTCATGATTGATATATATGCTCAGGTTGAGGGGGAGTATTAAGATTGTTTGGGCTAAGGGTCTTTTTGTCTTTTCATGTTCGTTTGTATTTGGGCACCCATATTAGGGCTTTCTTGTAATTTCCATCTAGAAATATAAATCCCAAGTTTTAGAAAATGAACAGTAACTCTCTCTTCTCTATTCATTACCTTCTTTCTCTCTTCTTTTATTCTCTATTCTTTTCTTCTTGCTTTCTTTCTCAACAAAACCCTAGATATTACATGTATTATTTTAATTCCACTACATTCACACAAAACACAACCTTCATTCTTATTGCTCTTGCATTCATATTCATTATAAGGCATTAATAAAAGAAGGGGGAAAGTTTTTTTAAACACCCAATTCACCACCATCTTGGGTTGGCTACCTGGGACAACAAAAAGCAAGTAAATGGGCCCGTATTGGGCTGATACAAACGAAAATGTGAAACTATGTAATTCTATACGTTTTATGTACGTGGCCTCTTCTAATATGGTACATATCAACCTGTATCATCCAATATGTTGCAAAATTTTAAAAATTGAATGTAAACACAAGAAGAAAACAATGAAGTTTTTATCTCTACAAGACTGATACATCAATATGAAGCAAATTATTCAATATGTAAGAAAGCTCATTCTAAAAACTAAGGCTCAAGAGAACTTTGGGGCTCAATGCATTCTCGATTTCTTACTCTTAAAGCTTTCACAATAAAAAAAATTCTCTTATTTTTCTCTCTTTTTCCATTTCTTAGGATTCTCTATTTATTTATCTTGCATTTGCCTACTTTGTTCTTTATTTTTTTTCCAAGTTTTTATATCAAGGATTCAAAGAATGAGGAATATGACCATGCGAATCCATTCTAACATCAATTTTTCTTCAACTAGAGAAATTCAGTGATGTCTCCCAAGTGATTTCGAAGCATTCCCAAAGAGAAAAGAACCGTTAGAGCATTGAATAATCTGGGAACTCAACTAGTTAGTTTAAGAAATCAACTCTTAATTGTCAGAGTAAGAAACTTTTCTGACAAACTAAGCTAGCAGTCGAATCCTTTGCAGAGTCCAATTTTCTCCCACTAAGGACTTGACTAGTTAGAAAATGTAAGCTTAGCATATGCATGAAGCCGAGTCCAGAGCTTTGGAAGTCAACTCGTTAGGCCACATCAAAATATAAAATATTAATTTTTAACCAACATTTTGCTCAAACTAAGGTATAAGAAATTGTCTAAGGCTGCGTTTGGAAACGATGCAAATAAGTGTGAATGTAAATACATAGTGTAAAATGGTTCATATAAATTGCAAAGCTGGGTTAGTTTTGCACTGACAAATTTATATTCTTACCAAACAGATTTTTAACTGTAATAGATGCAAACATGAACTTCAATAAAGCATATGCTTTTTTATCAAAAACCCACTTGAATGCAAATTTACTTCTTTTTTTATTGATGTGCTTTTACATCTTATTATCAATGTAAATATGCACTGGCCTGTCATTTGTCAATGCATAAATGTAATGTTGCCAAACACAGGCAAAAGTCATGAACCAGAGTACCAATTTACCCTGAACCAGGATTTACACTCCATTTGCATCATTTCCAAACACAGCCTAAGGGTCCTAGTAAGCTAACCATTAGTCTCTAAAGTCTGTTTATCCACGGTTAATTTGAATTGAACTCAAATCAATCTTCTTGCAATTGATTACATCAAATAATACAACTTTTGATATTCTACTTGATTTCCTTCTTTCTAGAGAGGATATATTTTTTTCTCTTCCATCTTTCAACTCAAACGTGGGAGAATTATCAAGTTATCTATATAATTGGATTCTAATGATGTTAGTATCTTCAGTGAGTTATTGAAATTTGTTGTCGTCAAAACACCTAAGGTTGTATATTACTATTTTGAACCTTCTTAAAAAACGTGCAAGAACAATTGCACTCATCCTTATACTCATATCCTCTCCTACCTCCTCTTTTTCAATGACCTAAATGTCAATTTCTATCTAACAATAGAAAATTGTTTGTCGAATGTATCTTCACTTCTAAATATTTTAGTATCTTACTTGAAGGATCACGAGGCCTAATAAGAGACATTGTCATCTACAAAACATTAGGGGTGTCAATGGACAAGTTTTGGGTTGGACTTGGTCCAAATCAAAATCAATTTAGACAGATTGGATGTACCAATGAGACATGGCACATTGAACCAGTCTAGACTTAATGGTTCAAAGTATTTATTGGATTGGACCTGGTCCATTCATAATGGATTTGTAATGGATTGAACCAATATCCAATCCATTGATAAGAGTGTCAATGGACCAGGTTTAGGTTGGAACCAATCTAAACTAAAACCAATTTGAACAGGTTGGATGGTCCAAACATTAAATTGGACCGGTCCAAATTGGTCCAAAGTATTCATTGGATTGGATTGGACCTGGTCCATCTGTAATGGGCTCATATTGAACCAGATTGGATTGGACCAAACCTAGTCCAATTGACACCCCTAGGCCATAGATTATGTCCTAACTAAAACTTAAATAAACAAGATATATAATAAATGAAAGAAATAGAAACCAAACAATGGAACTTCTGAGTTTATTCATTTCAAAAGTACATGGACCCAATTACACATCCAGAAGCTAATTTGGCTGGGCGTTTTACATTCAAATCAATGGTGAATCCCTGACAAGCATTACATTTAACTTGAGCAAGATCTATGACAATGCTTCAGCCATGATTGAACGATGGGACAACTGCTGCTCATAAAGATCCTGAAAAATGCGATACTTGGCATCATGGTACTTCTTCACCTTCGGGTCTTCTGAAGGATGGATGACCTGACAATAGTTGAAATATATAAGCCCAGTTACGATTAAAAAATATAAAATAGTTACGATTATTCATGGCATATGTCTCAAACTTTTTCACCCATAGCTTTTAGTTCAAATACTAAGAATAATTCCTGTAATCTATGGATATTTGCACCGCCGGGGGGGCCGGGGGGGGAGTCGTCTCAAAATCTTTCCAACCCAAAATCTCAAGGTACTATGACAAAACTGTACAATCATTGAAAATATAAAGCTGTATACTCACTGAGAGCATAACAGTACTTTTTAGTACCCTATTCAAGTTCCTTCAATAAAACATTTAATAATCTTGCCAAATTCATTGAGTATTTGCAGATGATGCAAAGTCACATGTATTTATGGTTTCCATTTAGAGAATTTTGCCTTCTGATATTGGACGATCCTCTCAACAGTCCCTTCAATGTATTACTCTCTTGATAAAATTGTTCCTGGACTACCAAAGTATTTGAACCATTATGATACTGTCATAGCACAGTGACAACTCAAGGAATCTTTGGAGGACTACTAATAGCGTGGATCTTACTGATACAAATGCCTCATATTCAACTCACCATTGAGTGTTTAATTTGTGGGCTATATCCAGAAGGAATCATATATGCAGAGAAAGTTTTGATATACAAAGAATTGACCCATTTAAATGGTAAGAACAAAACCAAATACATTTGGACAATGAAAAGATTTTTTTTCCAAGAGTTAAGATCATTAGAATCGAAGTACCAGAATAATTTAAAGCTTCAGCTTGAGGAATCCAGCCATACATATTTTTCATTTGCTCCAAAATAATTGGCAAATATATCCAATAGTATATTTGGTTCATACCTGACCAGCTGCATTCAGTGCCTTCATGGCTTCATCAACACTAGAGTACTTCTTTGCAGCAACAGCACCAAGAATGGCAGCACCCAGAAGAACAGATTCACTTTCTCTTGGAAGAACAATTGGACAACCTGTATTTTTCATGGATCAGGATTCTCTCAGGTTTTGTCCATGAACGGTAATAATAGGAATCTCAGAATCTATGCCCACCAGTGCATCATGCAACTTTAGCATGACTGTTTTTCCCAATAATAATGAAAGAGCCTCAGAGTTGGTTATAAATAAATAAAACAAAGAAATAACAAATAAAAGTTTTGGAAATTGAAAGTAAAAATCTTCATGGATCTCTTGTGAACTAGGATGCTTCACCCTAAAATTCAATCAGTATATGAAAACTACATAAAAACAAATAATACTCTAATAATACTTCGTCGTTATGCACTTTTCCTTTTTACCTATTTATTGATAATTGGACTATGGTTATTTTTCAAGACCTAATTAATTTGTTAATATCTCATTTTCTATCATGGATCAGATAAGATATCCCATACAGGCAAAGAAAACTGGACTGGTAAAAGCTACACCGTTGGGTCAGAAAACATTCAGGAGTTGACTAAACTAAAACTGCATTCTAAGAAGCTTTCTTACAATATTCAGGCTATAAGAGTCATCTGAAAGTTGATTTCTCCTCGGACTATTTACTAATGGATGTCAAAGCTAATGCACCCCATACACACACACATACACAGATAGAAAGATAGAAAGATAGAAAGATAGAAAGATAGATAGATAGATAGATAGATAGATAGATAGATAGATAGATAAATAGAGAGAGAGAGAGAGAGAGAGAGAGAGAGAGAGAGACCAATGATATCTGCATGCTGTTGAATGTACAAAGGGTTCGTGGAAGGCCCACCACATGCAAGAAGTATGTCAATCTGTACTTGGAAAGAGAAATAAGAAAGAAAAATAAGTTCACAAGGCAGGAATATTAAAAAAAACATCAAGTTCACCTAAAAAATGATAACAAATAAGCACACAGCAATGATATCATGTAAAGAATTCAGTTTTAAATCACAATTATACCTAAAAGGTCTTATCAGGACAATATTTACATGAAACAAGATGTATATAGAAAAGCACAATTAACCTAGATTGGGGGCTACAAAATTGCAATGGATCTGGAACCCCCCGACTCTCGACATGGTTTTTGTTTAAAGTATCGAGATCTAATGTTGTATAAACCACCTCAAGACCATTAATATTGTAGAAAAGAAATCATCATGATCAGATGAGTTTTAACCATCTGATTGGTGAATTTTCTTTTCTGGGATTTATTGAGCTTTGAGGAACTGAACCACTACCCAAAATCAGATCCTTAAACATGAACAGCTTGCATCTATGGAGTATTAGACACATTTCAGCTATAATACAGTGTATATAATACATAGTACGAAAATACTCCCAAGTCCCATAAAAGAGAAATATTTTAAGCATCTGGACCAGGCCAGGCAATGCAGGCCTGTGCAGAAATGATCATCCCCCCTAATCCACATCATGGATACCAACCAACTAAATAATAATGTAGTAAGTATGACCCTCAATTGATTAGTCAACATAGCTGTCAAGGTGCCAAGGAAAAGCTAGGCAATAAAGGAGTGCCTAGTCAAATGGATTAAAAAAAACTAAATCCTAGGGTAACTCCCTACGTTTCATAGCAAACAAAAACGACTTTTACGACTCTAAAAAAATAGTCTAAAGTATACTTCAAAAGCCTCTTAAGAAACCTAGTTTGATTCGCAATGCAACAAAGAAAGTCTGCAAAATAGCAGCTTCCAAATTCAGCTAGAATATTCTCTATGCACTAGAGAGTTCCAATCAATCTAGGACTCTCCTAGTTTAGCTCATCCTCACTGGAACCTACCTGTTTCCTAGCGGATTTAGAGAACCTGGTGAGAGAGGGAGTTTGAATATATTGGGACCCATAGGAGTCTAGTTTGAACCAACACTTGGGTCCCCTAAGTGTATGATACACTAAGGCTGAAGTCTATCCTAGCTCAAGGAGAATTCAACCAATTAAGTTGAGCTTACAGTTAACTTAGGCCCGTTAATATCATATGTCAGTATTTTCAGGCTCTGACACCCTCAAATCCCAAACTGTTGGTTCAAATTCAAATATGTCCATCAAGTACTTGGGTCTAATAGACACTTGCAACATAATCCTTCTGCTATTAATATCCAACGCTAATAATAGGGAGGAATTTATTCCCCACTCTAATAAAATCAATGTTATGGAAAAACGTTTTGCAAACTCATTTCAAAAATAAACTATTTATCAATATACTAAATACATTTTGTAAAACTAAAACCAATACCGAATCTGAATCAATTTGAAACACAACCAGCAGATTTAGGTATCCATTAGAGAAGCCATAGCCAGATATTGACCTGGATGGCATATCAAAAGTAGACAAGTCCAAGATCCTATAGAGTACCATTATCAAGTCTGAGGACCATATGCAACGATCTAAATACTCCACAAATCGAAAAGTCCAGAAGTTATTTGAAAGTGGTTTGGTTTAGTGTTTCACAAATACCTACACTAATACCTTGGGTATAACCTAAGCAGGTAAGACAAACTACTCCTTCCCTCAAGGCAGTATAAGTGTGTCAACCTTGCCAAGATAAACTACACAAGTCCATCCACTATTTGAAAGCATTTAATCCACATACTGACTATGATTATCTTTAAACATTTTCAAGATAATAATAATCCTAAAATGCAGATCAAGAGCTAATTCATAAAAAGACACCAAACAATAGATGTCACCATACAAGAAAATGAACTTTTATTCATAACGAAAGTTTTTTACATCATATATTGGATTCTAAGGACATACATTGTCCGACATATTCATCAAATGAAGTTAAAACGAAAAAAAAGCTCAAAAAACACAATAGAGCAGTAGAGCCTTTGTTTTAATCCAAGGAAAAAAGATAATATAATGAAAAGAAGAGGTGGAGTCCCTATTTTCCCAAAAGAAAAGAAGAAACAAAGAGGGAAGAAGAGGAAGAAGAAAGCATGCGTTGGTTGCTCTTTTGTGTTGATCAGATAAAATCTTCATTTGCTTATTGGTTCAGATTTTGAAGCCTCCGACAAATAATAAAATAATAGAAAAGAAACTAGTATCATGAAATATGGAAATATTATGAACCAGCAAAAAGGATAATTTAATATAAGTGTATATATTATAATATTATAAGAATGCAGCATAATATTGAATATTTTGAGTGGAAAATGTTTATAAGCAAACTTATAATAATCAATGAATAATACTGAATTTTCAAAGACTCGATTCTCTGTGATAATTTTATGACATAGTAGGTTATGATGGAATAGTAGAACCTAAGTAGGATGAACCATAAGAACAGAAGTTGCAAAGAACTAGGAAGATGTTTCTGAAGGTAATGAAGCTAGGGGTGTCAATGTGAGTCCACTATAAATGGACCAGGTCCAATCCAATCCGATGAATATTATGGACCAGTCCAATTCATGTCTGGACCGTCCAATCTGTTCAAATTCATTTTGGTTTAGATTGGTTTCAACCCAAACCAGGTCCATTGACATATTCTTGTCTTATATCAATGGACCAAATTTTGGCTTAATCCAACCTAATCCAATGTAAAATTATTACGGACAGACCAGGTCCAATCCAATCAAATAAATATTTTGGACCGGATTGGTCTAATCCAATATATATGTCTTGTTGGTCCATCCAATCCATCCAAATTGATATTGAATTGGGGACCCCATCCAATCCAAAACCGGTCCATTGACACCCTTAAATGAAGCTATGAAACCTCCTAGAAAGAATAAAATAACTAAATTCCAGAACAAAATAGGATGCAGAATGACAAAACCACCCAAAAAGGTCAATTAACCATTAATAAAATAAAAAGCATATTCTTACTTTGTGCCCATAGGAATTGCAATGCTCTACAATGTGGCGTGTGCCATATGCAATACCTTGCACTGTAGCAAGGTAGAGAAGAGCCAGCTGTTTCTCACTCGTGTCAAGTGTTAAGCCAGATATCATCCCTTTTGCTTTTGGGTCTGCAATGGGTGACCTGAGACATTGAAATTGAAAGGATATCATACACTGATGCTTCAGAACCACGTTTCGTCATTATTAACTGAAACATTATATCACTCTATCAATGGACTGACTATACCTTTTCCCATGGAAGTCAGGAAGGACATGTATATCTTTGGTCAATGCAGCAAGAAAAGGAACTTCCATGTCATGCATCATTGATTCTAAGATTCTATTTAGCAGTTCAAACAATGAAGTACCTGGAATATATGGAGAAATAAATGAGGGATCAAACTGATACTTTTAGAAATATACAAAAACTATCAGTAGGAAAAGGATAATCAACTCTATATTAAATTCTTAATAACATTTATCAATTAAAACAATATGACAAGAGTAAAACTTACTTTGATAAGCAGCACGATTTGCAAGACAAGGAGAAGCAACATGATTCTCAACTATATAATCCAATAAAGCACCAGTTGCACTCTGGCCCCCTTCTGTAAGCCAGAACTCTGGTACCAATGCTGAAGATATAAAAAGTAGCAACAATGTTAATAGTCACTTATTTCCATACTTAGCAATGCTTGAATGAATGACATAGCCTTAGTAGCAACAATGACAGAAAAATTTTGATTGAAACTGGATATAAGTTGGCAGCAGACAAAACAATTCTCAAATCCCATGGGTTTATAGATACACCTTTTGGTAAATTGAAAGCATAACAAGAGAGTTAACTGTTACCTTCAAATGGGTGAGAAGAACAGCAAATGGGATGGTCGATGCTTTAGCTAAGCAGGGGGCTACTAGACAACAATTGTTTTATTCTCTGTTTCAAAGCAAGGTTCAAAGTATCAATACACCCCGACACGGTGGAAGGGGTGTATCAGTACTTTGTACCTAATGTATTATATTTTTTTTTAGTTTTTTTTCAAAATTTGAGGGGTTATTTTAATGTTATTTAACTATTAAAATTACTGTTTCCTTAATATACCGTAAAAAAGTCGTATCAGCCACCTGCCGATATGATATGATACACCTGATACAGGTGATACGTGGCACATCGTGTCAATACTTTGAACCAAGCTTCAAAGGGATGGATATTAATCCCACCTTGAATCCTCAAATTGCTTTTAATAAAATGTTTTTACTGATCAAAAGAACAAACCAATTCAGGCACATCAGCTGGCTATTTCATACATTTATTAGGGCCAAAAAATTACATCATTCTACCACTTAGGAGCATGAAAAGTCTAACCTGAGCATGCTCATATCTAGACCCTTTCACTTGAACCAGACATGGTTATTGGTCAGAATGATATCCTAGTTTTCTGTGAGGGGGACAGTAGAGATGGTGTGGAAAACTTGAAGTTGGTAGTGAATCTATTTGAGAGGGTCTCTAACATGAGGATTAACTGGAATAAAAGTGTATTGGTCAGAATTAATGTGCATGAAGATTGGGGGATATGGCAAGTTATCTGGGTTGTGAGAAAGGAAATTGGCCGATCAAGTACCTAGGGTTACCACTTGGTGATAACCCTAAATCTTTTGAGTTTTAGGAATCTAGTGGTGGAAAGGTTTAAGAAGCTAGCTGGGCGGAAGACAAATTACATTTCTTTAGGTGGGAGGGTAACATTGATCAAATCTACCTTAGCTAACCTTCTTATCTGTTTTATGTTGGTTTTGAGGATACCCTAGGCTGTCGTGAGAAAGCTGGAAAAGATCATGAGAGATTTTTTGTGGGAACCTGGGGAAGGGAAGAAAGATCATTTGCTTAGGTGGGAGAAGGTGTCAAGTTGAGAAATGTCCATGACCAGGAGGATCTAGCATCCTCAGAATGCAGATCTGGATGTTGAGCTTGAAGCGAAGAAAACAGATCTACCACCTAACCCAGCTCCCAATCATTAAAATTTCTTCTAAAAGTTAAGAAGGCTAGATGATGGAGATTCAGATTGACTCTGACGAAAGTCTAGACGAGAGGATGAAATCTCTCAATGCAAGCTTGAATGGAAGGTTCGTTGGAACAAATATGAGGGAGAATGAGGTGGTCACCTGGGCCTTCCTCAAACGGAGTAAGGACAGAGTTTTGTGCACTAGAAGGCTGAACGGGGGGTTTGTTCTTGTTTATGTTCCATGGCAGGAAGGATGCAGAGTGAGTTTTGGAGTCAAAAGCTAAGATGAGTAGGGTTGTGACTTACGATTGACCTGGTGGTTTCCAATAGAAGGCCTTCTACAAGAAGGCAAAAGGAGGAGGGCAATGTGGATTGGAGTTCTTGGAATCCTCCTGCATGCATAGAGTGATGCTTCCTTCAGGTCGATTGGGGATGCCTGTGGTAAATTTCTATTTGTCGACGAACGGAACAGAAACTTGGAGAAGATCAATGCCACAAAAATTTTGGTGGGGATTGATCAAATCTCTGCCATTCATGGGTGCTTAGTTCTAGGCTTCACTGGTGAGAAATATGAACCGAGAATTTTTGTCAATGTAGAAAGACTGGGCTGAATGGGCCCTAATATTTGTTTTATGTTTAAGTAGTGTTCTATCTGTTTTATGAGTTAATGGGCCTGTTAACCTCTTTTTAATTTCTTTTAAGTTCTTGCTCTGCTGGCCGCCCACTTAAAGGGAAGACTTGTAATTTGCATAATTGATTAAGATTAATAAAAGATTAGTGAAGGGAGAGAGGTATCCATCAAACTCTCTTCTTCTTCTCCATCTTCTTTAATTCTGCTGTTAATTTCTTTTCTCTCCCACTTTTCTTATTTTTTATCAGTTTTATATCAGATTTGAAAGACTGATTCACATTTTGGTATCAAAGCAGTTCTTCCTCCTCTTTTCTTTTTCTTTTTTTTTCCATACACCCTTCCATTAGAAGAGTGTATGGAGAGATAAGTTGCTGATCAATCAAAGGACTATTTTCCTAGTTGGTAGAGGGTTTGGAGAGTTAGAATTTGGCCGAAAATTGAGAAGAATTGAAGCTGTAATTTTTCTGCCCAAAACCCTAGCCAACTAGAGAGATTTCAAGTTGTAGGTTAAGGAGAAGGATTGGGTGTGGCACTTAGGGCTTGGGAGGTGTAGTTTTATCTTCAGAAGTGTGCGGTTGAGATTTGAAGAAGGTTGGGAAGCTCTGGTAGGAGCGGCTACTTCTTCTCTCTTCCTCCCCAACAGCCAGGTGTAGTGAAACCCAAGTTTTTGAATCTCCAGGACTGTACTGACCTCAGTTAGGTCTATGAAGACTGAAAAACTAGTTTTTTTTTTATCAATGAAGCAATCTGGAAGTGAAATGAAGCAGAAGCTGGTATCTGGGGTTGGTCTGATAAATTCCTTTTTTACTAGAGTGACCACAATTAAACTAGATGGAACCAATTATCTAGCCTAGGCACAATCCATACAGATTTATGTTTGCAGTAGAGGTAAACTAGGGTATCTCACAAGTAGTAAGGTTGCAGAGACGGACCCTGCATATGAGAAATGGATGTTTGAGTTATGGTGGAACGATGGCAGGAAATCGATATTATGGAGACAGTTGTATGGGAGAGTACTAAAGACGTAGAGACATTTAGAAAACTGGTGGAACAAAATAGGGTGTTTGAGTTTCTTATAGGACTCAACCCTGAGTTCGACATTACTAGGTAGAACATCCTAGCCAAAGATGAGGTCAGTCTTGCTCAAGCATATGCCATGGTAAGTAGTGGAGAGAGTAGGTGGCAAGTACAGTTATAGGGACCACCTACAGAACACTTTGCACATGCTAGAATAAAGCTGAAGGGGCCTGTTTTGGAGCAGCTACAGTAATCCGAACCAGTGAAGAAGGAAGAAGAAGATGAGGAAGAAGACAAGAGAAAGAGAGAACAGGAGGGTTTAGTCGAAAACTGATTAGTCTCCCATTCAGTCGACCCCCTTATGTTTATTAGGTTCTAATTACACTTACAAAGACTAAACTGCCCTCACTTAAGTGTGGGGCAGAGTACTCTAATAAAACAGCCACATAAGCAAAGTACTTAACTGACATGAGATTACTAAACTACCCCTATTCAGCTCACTCTAACAGGGCCGATTGAGAAGAAGTAATATGTGAATATTGCAAGAAGCCAAAGCATACTAAGGACACTTGTTGGAAACTTCATCCAAATCTTCTTGCGGACAGGTTTCGGAATAACAACTTTAAGAAGAATGGTCAGACTAGGAAGCCTAAGAATGTTAATGTTCCCTCACTGCCTAAGGGTGGAAACAAGGAAAGTGAAGAAAGATCAGCTATGGAGCAACTGGCAGAAGTAAAGGTAGAGTTTGAAAAGTATGGGAGGTTACTTAATCACTTGGAGACCACTGTTTCAGCATCTTTACCTCATCATCCACATTTTCTCACTCAGGTACTCGTGCTTCTACAAATCATGCTACGATTTTAGGTAATCATAAAATCCCTTGAATTATTGACTCTGGTGCATCAGACCATATGACCAGTTTATCTAACCTCTTTTGTTCATATTGACTCCTCTCTGGTAAAGAGAAGATATCCCTTGTTGATGGGTCTTTTGCATCCATCTCTGGCAAAGGAGATATCAAGGCCTCTGGCACATTTGTTTTATCCTCTGTCCTTCATGTCTCCAAGCTTAATGCCAACCTTTTATCTGTTAGTACCTTGACTAAATCCGTGAACTGTAGCATAACCTTTTTTTCCTACCCATTATGTTTTTTAGGACCTAAAATCCCAAAGGACGATTGGGAGTGGCCATGAGGCGAATGGAATATACTTGTTGGACACACCTGATAGGAGTCTGACCACCTAATGGAGTTGCTTTGGAGTCTGTTTTGTTAGAGTCTATTGATAGAGTCATGTTATGTCATTTACAATTTGGTCATTTACCTTTTCCTACCTTGAGTCATTTGTTTCCCGATATGTTTAAGGGTGTCTTTATCGAGCCTTCATTGTGAGTCTTGTGAACTTGCAAAGCATTGTAGACATTCTTATTCGGTAAGTAATAAAAGATTTATTTCTCCTTTTCATATTATGCACTCTGATGTGTAGGGGCCATATCATTTGCTTGCTATGGTCTATGGGGAGTTACAAGTATTTTATCCTCTTTATTGATGATTATTCTCGCTATACTTGGATTTATCTCATGAGATCCCGGGATGAAGTACCAACTATTGTGCAAAAAATTCATGAACTTATCCTTACCTAGTTTAACACCTAGATCAAAATATTCTAGTCTGATAATGCTAAGGAATATTTTGACAAGAACCTTTCATCCTACTTTGAGACCTTTAGGGTTATTCATTAGAGTTCTTGTTCCTACACTCCACAACATAATGGAATAGTGGAAAGGAAGAACCGCCATGTGGTTGAGGTTTCTAGATGCCTCCTTTTTGTATCTCATGTTCCTATTAAATTTTGGGGGATGCTATGCCTTCCTGGGTTCTAGGCTTCAAGACCCCGTTTAGCCTTCTCTTTTTGGATGCGGATCTCTTCTCTTCCTCTCCGAGTTTTTGGGTGCACCTACTATGTACATGTTCATAATCATCAGAGAC